CGGTCCCGGGGAAGATCCGCAGACTTCTGCAGGGCCGCTGTTGCGAAACAAATGCAACGTCGGGGGTGACTGGTCCTGGAAGCCGACGGAGTTTTTCAAAGGCTTGGGAAGTTCTCGGAGGCTTCTAAGCCCTCGTGCGCCTCTGGGAGGCTCCTCGTGGCCACGGCTGGATCCGCCTCGAGGCTCCTGCCCCAGACGCAATCCGGAACAGGCTAGGGGGTCGATGTTTTGACCCCGGGGACTCCGATGTCACGGGAAAGTCACGACGGGAGGCGCTCTTGGGATTCTTGGAGTCGAGAATTGTTGAAGAAACCCTTCGCTCTTGGGAGCCTTGGCGTTGAAAGCTTGTTACGTCACCGCTCGCTCTTGGGGGCCTTGGCGTCCAGAGACGTTTACGATGCCGCTCGCTCTTGGGAGCCTTGGTGTCGAGAACTGTTTAAATAAATTGCCGTCCGCTCTTGGGAGCCTCGAAAATCAAAAACCAATCTGCAAGAAATCGAAAATCTCCAGGGACCTGCGGGATCCTGCTCCCCGCCGGCGGCGGCGACGGCGGCCAGCGGCGCGGGGCGGCGCGCGGCGCCTCCGGCCGCCGCCGCCGCCGGCGAGGCCGCCGAGCGGCCGCCAGGGGAGCAGCCCGTCCGCCACAGGGCGACGATGGCGACGACGACGGCGACGACGACGACGACAATGGCGACGATGACAACGGTGACGACGACGATGACTGCGACGATGATGACGACGACGGTAACGGTGACGCAACGACGACGACGGCGACGGCGACAACGTCGACGACCCGACGGCGACGAAAACCGACGCCGACGACGATGACGACACCGACGACGACAACGATGACGAAGACGACGACTACGGAGGCGACGACGCCGACGACGACGACGGCGACTACGGAGGCGACGACGCCGAAGACGTCCCGCGCAAGCGCCGAACGTCCTGCTCCTCATTCGCCTCCTCCTCCTCCGACTCCGCCGCCCCCTCCTGCCCCGCAGCCCCCTCGGCCTAAGAATATCTAAAAGACATTTCCACCCAGTGAATGGCGAGGTCGAAATTGGGTCCGCCCGTCGCCCTCACGGTAGAGAGGCAATGGTGGTAACATTCGGCACTCCCACGATCGATGCATTGCATCCACGTCAACAAATTGAACTTCACAATGATGTAACGATCACCGCAACCCAGCCTGCACGCAACAGCACCAGTCCAATCTGATTGGACAATATGCTGTTTGACCGTGTTTTCGTCCGTCAAGTCGCTGATGATCGGAAGGGCTGGGTCAGCGAGCGCACTCTGATCACGTGCAGCCTGAGATGCCGAAGACCGCGCCCTTGCTCGCAGCGGCGTCTCATCGCCGCGAGTGGCCTCCACGTGCGCGAGCGCCTCGCCTCCATGCTGAATAACTGCGTTCGTGAGGTCGGTGATCATTCTCTCAGTCCGCCCCCGCTGGACCACGATGCAGCAGCCCGCGAACAACTCCGACAACGATCTGACATCCCTGCGCTGCGCGCTGGCAGCAGCAGCGCGAGCTGTATCCGAAGAGGCTGCACCGCCGAGTAGCTCCGTCACGATCTGAACTGCAGATGGCCGTACTTTGTAAGATGGTGCATCGGGAAGCTTTGACTCCATGCCGAGGTGAGCCATTATATCTGTTGTTTCTTCCAGCCGACGGGGTACCGCAAGAGGGTCGTACGCAATGACCTCAAGCCCGTGCACTGCAGGACTACCATCTGGAACATCTGGAGCATGCGCTGCAAGACTAACATCTGGAGCATCTGGCACGTTGTCTGCAAGACTAACCCCTGGAGCATCTGGAGCAGCAGGACTAACATCTGGAGCATCTGGCACGATGTCTGCAGGACCTGCAGCATGACTAACATCTGGAGCATATGGCAGATCCGCAGGACTAACATCTGGAGCATCTGCAACTCCGCCCACCATCGCGACAGATCCGAAAGCACCAGTGTCATTATCAGAACTCGTTCCCACCATCGCGAAATATCCGAAGGCGCCAGCGTCATTATCAGACCTGCCTCCAACCATCGCGAAGGATCCGAAGGCTTGACCAACATCTGAGCTGTCGGGCATAGCACAGCTGATCCACTCCTCCTGGCGACGAAACCCAGGCACGTCGATATGAATATGGATGGCGGTTGCCAAGCAACCACACAAAACATGGAGGAACTGCATGAACACAAGATGTTATATTAACATCACATCGCGATATGAAAGACTAACCTCTGGACCAAATGGCTCTGGACAGGCTGGCAACGCAAGAAGAATCACCGACTAAATCGTCCCGGGCCCAGGACGCCGCTCGAAACGATTTCGGTGCCCCTGAAGATGATTTCGGCGAAACGCCCCCTGCAAATACAACGCAAAATCCTGAGGGGATCATTGGGGCGACGCGGGGGGGCAGTCAAGGCGAGGCACAGCTGCTGAAACTGCTCTGAAACTACTCTGAAACTGCTCTCGAACTACTCTCCAACTACCTGAAACTACTCTGAAACTACTCTGAAACTACTAAGGCGAGTAACTGCCTGAAACTACTCTGAAACTACTCTGAAACACCTAGACCTAAACTTGATTCCCTCCCCCCCTGGCAAGACACGAACACGAAGAGAAGGTGTGGGAGGGCAATGGTATTGCATGACAAAAGAATTGTTTAGGGTATTGTGCTCTGTATATATTGAGACAACACAAACATTTCCACTCATGACATAACGCGGACAATGCAGGGAATGTGCCGTTGCTCGCAAACGCAAGGCGATCATTCTGAAACAGAAAAAGATGTTCGCAAACGGTTGCCATGATGTCTTGCAAGCGTGCTTTGGTTTCGTAGACGAACGTGGGACTCCGGTGCATTGTGGCGATCCTACAAGCACGCCTTGTACCATACACGTGGGAACTTTGATTTATTGTAAATTACACGACGTCCAAACGCAAGTGCGCAAGGTGCGACCACTCCCCCACGAGACGTGGCGATGATGCCTACAAGCGCGCTCTTCTTGCACTTGAGAACACAATGGATTCATTGACATCGATAAGTGTTCTTTGCGCAGTGGCCAACCTATTTCCCTCAGATTGTTGGCGATGTATTCCCTATTTTTTCTTATTTCCCAAACCTATTCTGGTCCTATCCTGGTGGATTGTTTTCCTAATTCCTAACGTGTCCTCCTGTGACAGAACAGCCCGCCACAACCGTGGTGGCCCCATATGCATGCCCTTCGTGGCCCCGCTGTCGCCCTTCGTGGCCCCCTCGCTGCCCTTCGTGTCCCCGTTGCTGCCCACTATGGCCCCGTCCTTACCCTTCGCGGCCCAACATGCGTATGCCCTTCGTGGCCCCCGCTCGTTCGCGCCCGTTGTGGCCTCATGTATATGCCCTTCGTGGCCCCGCTGTCGCCATTCGTGGCCCCCTCATTGTCCTACGTGGCCCAGGTGCTACCCTCAGTAGCCCCATCGTCGCCTTCTGTGGCCCCGCATTATCTGCCGCCTCTAAGACGGCCCTAGAGCACCCCAAGAGGGCCCCAAGTCGGCCCAGAGAGGCACCCCAAACGGCTTCCGACAACGTCAGGCGGGCCAGGAGCCCACCAAGGTGGCCGAAGTTGGCTCGAATCTGGCCCAAGACGGCCCCAGATGCCTCCAAGAGGGCCTCCAGGAAGGCTAGAAAAGGCCAAAAACATTGATTATACTTAAAGTTTTGGAAGGATTTTGAAAGTTGCTTCTTTCCGGCCATCCGAAGGCCCGATACTGCCCAAAAGCCCCCAAGGATCGCCCAAAGATCGCCCAAGAGGCCTCCAAGATGGCCCCAGAACGGCCCAAGAGGCCTCCAAGACGGCCCCAAGAGGCCCCCAAGACGGCCCAGGAGGCCTTTACGACGCCCAAGATGGCCTCCAAGACGGCCCTGGAGCATTCCAACCAAGAGAGCCCCAAGTCGGCCCAGAGGGGCCCCCCAAACGGCTTCCGACGGCGTCAGACGGACCAAGAGCCCACCAAGACGGCCGAAGATGGCCTTTAGATGGCCCAAGACGGCCCACGAGGCCTCCAAGAGGGACTCCAGAAGGCCCGAAAAGTCCAAAATCCGTGGCCCTAAGATGGCCCAGGACGGCCTACAAGGCTTCCAAGAGGGCCTCCAGAAGGGCCGAAAAGGCCAAAATCGTTTATTTTCCATGAGTGTTTGAAGGATTGTGGCATTTGCTTTTTGTTCTGCCTTCCGACGGCCCGAGACGGCCCAAGTGCCCCCAAAGATCGCCCAAGAGGCCCACGACGGCCCCAAGAGTCCTCCAAAACGCTCAAGATGGCCTCCAAGACGGCCCAAGAGCCCTCCAAGACGTCCTCCAAGAAGGCCCGAAAGGGTCCAAATGGCCTCCAGGCGGCCAAGATGACTTTCAAGATGCCCACGTGTTCCCCGAAGGCTTTACCGATTCGGGAAACACATGGTCCGATAGCTTGGCAGGTCTGGCCTCAACGTTCGGCCACATAGGCGCTTCCAAAAAGGCAGGGGGCGGCGGATTTTGGCCTCGTCGGGCCTTCCTGGAGTACCTCCTGGAGGCCTCTTGGGCCGTCTTGGAGGCCTCTTGCGGGCCTTTTGGGCCGTCTTAGACCGTATTGAGGCCATCTTGGGCCGTCTTGGAGGCGCATCTTGGGGCCATCTTAGCCGTCTTGGAGGCCATCTTGGGGCGTCTTGGAGACGTCTTGGAGACCATCCTGGGCCATCTTGGCCGTCTTTCTTCAGAACGCAAGCGCGATGCGTTAAAGCTGGGGAGGGCAGGCCCAGGAAACCAGACATCATGCCGCATGTGCAATCGTTGGAATGTCGCGCCCTGATGGCAAATGCTAGAACAAATTGGAATGCCGCGCGCTGATGGAAAATGCTAGACGCGTAGAACAGCAGCCTGCAGCACTCAGAACTCAGAACAGCAGCCTGCAGCACTCGTGCAGTGGCCCTTGCGCACTCAGAACAGCAGCCTGCAGACGGCAGCCAGCAGTAGCGCCTGCGGGAATGCTGCGTAGGCGCCAGAACTTTCCGGCGCTGGGCTCTGATCCACGATCGTCGGGGCCGTTGCCGAGTTCGGCACCGCCGCCACTGCCGAGAAGGTAGAAGCAGACCCAGTGTCCAGAAGCTGCGTGTTGAAGTGTGCCACGAAGTTTTCCGCAGTGGTGCTCTCCAGGGTGTCCACTATGCTGTCGAAGGCGCTCTGGCTGATGACGCCTGCCCCCTCAGAGGAGCCCACCTGTGCGGTGATGGTGTAGGAGACCAAGATCTCGGCGGCCTCGGCAGTCATCCTCCGGCCGCCTCTGGCCGCCAGCCTCCGGTCGCTGTACACCGAGAGCGTCGCCGCCACCGTCGACTCTGGCATGCCCACCCTCGTGGCGATCGAGGTCACGAACGAGTCCACGACGTCGGAGTTGCTTATGAAGTCCTCGGCCTCGGAGGCTGCCACGGAGGCCCTGAAGCTCCCCGAGACGACCAGCGTGGCCAGCGTCGATGGCGCCTGCGTGGGAGACACCGGCGTGGAAGACACAGTGAGCCCATCGGTCATGTCTGCCGAGGCGTTAATGGACAAGATGTACCGCCACACGCCTCCATCCAGTTCCATCGCATACGACTTGACAAAAAAAACTGGACTCTCCAGCGCTGTCATCCGTGTGCCAGGTGAGATTGGTGGTCTCGATGAAGTCGCTGGTCTGGATGTAGTTGATCTCCCACATGTCGCTGGAGTCGGAAGTCGGTATGCTGGCGTTGACGTACTCGTACATGAACCCCGCGCCCACCACATCCCCGATTTCCTCATTGGCCCACGAGGTCACTGAGACCCACTCTTCGTGCAAGTGCGCCTCCACTGAAACGTACGTGTCCCCGTTTTGGCTCAAGCTTCCAGTCGCATCCCACGTGTCTGCGCAGTCGTAACCAAGACTGACTGAGATAGATACGTTCTCCGTACCCATCAGGTCCCAATCGTCTTCCTCCCCGTTCGCCTCGCTCCACCAGCCGTCCTCGTACGTAGTCGTCTGCCCCTGCTGGGTCGTCGTTACTTCCATCTCGTAGTCGTCCTCGTCGTCCATCATGCTCTCCATCGTCAGCGTCAAGGCCATCTCGGTCATCGTGTCAAGGCGCCCGTCCGGCTTCGTGAGGGCCAGTGCAACGGTCATGACATCCCCGAGGTTCCCATGGGAAGTGATGCTGTCAGAACTGCTCGTTCCCACGATAGACCAGTTCATCAACTGGTTGCCGTCGTTGTCCTCCATCGCCATCCCGGACGTGAAAACGCCCCCGGAGCTGCTGCCCGTCACCGACACGGTCATCATCACCCCCGCGTCGGTGTCGCTCGGGTCCCAGACCTGCGCCTCCGCGGAGGCGTCCCAGTCCGTGAGCAGGCGGAGCCCGCCGGCCGCCGTGAAGTCCACGCCCGCGTCGAGCTGGAAGAAGGGCGTCGACAGGTCGGAGGTGAGGACCTGGAGCTGGAAGGTCGCCCGGACCCCCGGCCGCGTCGACCGCCTCGAGCCGGACGCCGCCGAGGGCCTCGGGAGCCTGGCCGCTCTCCAGGCGCACCGCGGCGCTCCCGCGGAGCAGCGCCGAGCCAGAGGGGTCGCCCTCGGTCAGCGAGGCGTCGACGGCGAGGAGCTGGCCATCCGGGTCCCAGACGTCCACGTCCCAGGTGGTCGCGGTGCCCGACGTCTCCGACACGACGTCCCACTTGACCAGCCTCTCGCCTTCGAGCCGGATCTCCCCCGCGGCCGAATCGCCCGTGGGGAGCTCGGCGAAGGAGACGTCGACCTCGAGGAAGGTGCTGGATCCGCTGTCGACAGTCAGATCCACGGATTGAGAGGAAGTTGATACGTCGGCGCTCAGATCCCATCCAATGATCTTTTCGCTGTTTTCGTCCTTGATGGTGCCACTGGATGACATGGCGAACTGGTCGATTGCGATGGCCGAGTTGCCATTGCCTAGCTGAATGTATGCTGCTATCATATCCTGCACGCTCTGCACAGTGACTGACGCCCCTGCGGAATAGAGCGTGTCGCGTGCAGTCATGCCGAGAACCGCGCGGTAGTCTTCCTGATCATCTGATGTCGCCGACGAGGTCAAGGTCAAGCCCGTGCGCCGGAAGGCGAGCCCATAGAGGGCACAGGCGGTGGCAATCGGCAGCGTGCTACACACGCGCGCGCCACGGTGAGACAGCGTGTTCATAGGGAATGCCAGCAGAAATTATGAAAATCGCCGGCGCGCATTTGGAAAACATCTGGTGACCAGGATCGCCATTGAGAGCCGATCGCACGGCCGAAATCTTCCAATTTGCTTGTCCATGTAAGACACGGCCGGCCTGCTCTACGATTACCGCGTGGTGACCAGTTCAGAACTCTCGTGATGTACCTCGTCTCCGGCAGCTGCTGGACATATTCTGCAAACGACCAATATTGATGAACGCATTGTTCTGCCCATGTGCGAATGCCAGCACGCGCGACGAAGTAACGTGCACGCTCGTGCCAAACATGCAGTACATCATGCCATGGGCCATCCCAATCAACGTCCGGAGGTGGTCCAACGACTTGTCGTACGAGGCGACGAAATTCGATATCCATTGTTTTCAAATCATCCAAATATAGCGGGCGATGCTCTGCCGCAAAACACGCCACTGTCGTTACGACGGAATTGAACAATTTCAATCGCTGTGTGACCGAGGCTCGCTTGTCACACAGAATACGACGATTCGCATAGAATGCCTTGGCTGCACATTGCATGTGGCAATTCAAATCCAGAGTGCGGGAATCTGCCCCCCCTGTGGACAGCATGCAACCCAACCATTTATGAGCAGAGTCCCTGTTGATCACGTCGATTGTCAGACCATTCGGCGTCTGGATCGTGGAGGGGGCTTGTGCTGTAGTGGTAAGCGCCTTGGTCTTTTTCGCGTTAAGGACAAGCCCGACCTTCAGCAGCTCCGACACGAGCGCGTCGAGTAAGAAGCACACCTCCCTTTCCGAATATGCGAATAGAAGCAAGTCGTCTGCGAAGCGCAGGTTGGTCAGATGCTCTCCACCATCTCCAAGATCTATTCCCAGATGCCGAACTTTCTGCTTCCAGCGCGACATTGCCCATTCCATGGCGGACGTGAACAACTTTGCACTCAGTGCGCGCCCTTGGCGGACGCCAGCAGAAATAAGGAATTCATCACTGTAAGTGCTTTCGCCAGCAATCACACCCACTTGGTCCGCATAGAGTTGTCGAATGAGCCGAACCATATGGTCGGACACCCCGTGATCACGGAGTGCTTGCCACAGTGGATCCCATGCCACCTTGTCAAAAGCTTTCGACAAGTCCAAACTGATGATCCAAATCGGCATTCCTACGGCGAGCGTTTTCTGAAAGACAATGTTGGCAGTGACCGCGTGCTCCTCGAGGCGACGACCGGACCGGAACCCATGTTGTTCTTCAGGTTGTGCATGCTCCAATGCATCTTCGATCCTGCCCAAGACCAGGTAGGAGAACAACCTGTAGAACAGCCGCAGACATGTAATAGGTCTGAAATCCGAAACTGTTTTAGCACTTGCCATCTTCTCCAGCATCTTGAAGACTGTGCGTCTCCAATCGTCTGGAACGATGCCGTGCGCAAACAACTGGTTGCACAACCTCAGCACAGTACTGCGAAAGAGCGGCGGACTTTGATGCAGGAGCTCTGCGACGAGACCTTTACTATCTGCAGCCTTGTTCTTCTTCATCCGGTCAATGGCGATGTCCAGTTCGTCCTCGTCGAAACTAGGCTCGGTAGTGGCGGGGTTCGCCGGCGGGCGCTGGTAAGTGCCGCTGAAGATCACGCATGGCTGTAGCAAAGTCCGCGGGGCTCGGTTGAACTGCTCTCTTCTTGCCCGAAAACGTGTTTAACATCTGCCGCAACGCTTTCCACTTTGATGATTGGCCTACGTATGTAGAAATCTGCGCAGATCGCCACCGGCGACTTTCCTCCCGCATCGTACGGCGGATCTTGAAAGTGAGATCTTTCCTCTCTGCCTGTCCACCCGCACGGCGTCGAGCTAGCCGCAAAGACGTGAGAGCTGGAGATGGTTTGAACCGAAATGTCTTCGAACCCGCGCTCCCGTGCTTGGATCCCGCTTTGTGCAGCATGTTCTCCGCGCAGCTGAACGACGAGACCCGTGAGAGCAAAACTGGGGCGCTCAATACTTCCCAATACTTCGACGGCTCCCCGCGTACATCCAGAATAGGCCGCCAACCCTTCAAACTATTGTTCTTCCGGTTGCTGTTGACGCGTCGGCCAACGAAAGATAGCTCACAATGCACCGTTCGATGATCCAGTCCAACGCCAATTGCTTGATCGACATTGGAAGCAACGTGACCGAAACTAGAACCAGCGACGATGTAAGTCCCCGCCGATGATGGCCAGGGCATCGGCACCCCCACCGCCTTCAAGAAGAATCGACAAGAGATCATATACAGCGTCCGCTTCGGCATCGTCGCTCCAAGAAGTGGGGAAGTACACAGCTATCGCCCTGACAACCTTCCCCGCGATTGAAAAATCCAGTGCGCAACATCGGGGACTGAAAGCATGAAACTGTATATTTGAGATTCGCTTCCGAAGCTTTGGCGATGCAGCAATGCCCACACCATGGTGCGAGGAACCACCAGAGAGAAACAGAGAGTCACCACTGCTGGTTTCCACAACTTCCTCCCTATCCTGCCGCCACGTTTCAGCTATGAACAAAATATCGTACATCAAACTCGAAAGTTCGTATTGGAAATCTTCAAATCGAGCTTCCTCACGGATGCTCTGTAAATTCTTCGCGCATGTGCGAATGTGTACTTCAAGACTGTTGTCTGCGTCCGCCTCCGGCCGAAGCTCCTACAAGTCATCCTCAACCTCCCCCTCCACGGCGTCGCGTACCAAGTGTGAGATCTTGCTCTCGTCAGCTTCCCACACCGGAGTACCGTCCTCGTCCACCGTGGCCAAGAGCATAAACTTGCGATCGATTTTTGCACGGACTGTGAACTTGCGGTAATCAACCTTCACGTCGCCAGGCTCGTACAAATCATGCTCAATCAAGTACTTCTTGATCTTGCTGGCTAACTTCGATCGCCGTCGAACTTCAAATGGCTTGTTCGAGGAGGCCCATAAGTTTTTCTCAGTGAACGTTTTGATGCTCTTCTGCTTGCGTAAAAACTTTAGCATGGAGATCTGGTCGTGGAATTTCGCAAACGTCACTGGAGGTAAAGGGCTGTTGGCATATACTTCCTCGAGGCCCTGGGTGTCGCCCAGTGCAGCTTTAACGAGGGCCGTGGCATCATCGTCGGACAGCTCGCCATAACCTCCGATGACGGCAGCACGCGTGTACAAGCCCTCCTCGTCGCCCCCGATGCGAAACGTTTTCGGTTGCCTCTGTCTTTCGTCGAGCTTCTCTTCCAAATGAGCCACTTTCTTCTCAAGTGCCTTACGCGCCTCTCTCTCCGCAGCCAGCTCGTTCGTGACCTCGCCCAGCTTAGCGTTGACTTCGCCGAGCTTTGCGTCGAAGTGCTGCATCAATCGCTCCTCCTGACTCTGGTGCTCCTCGCGCAGCAAACCACGAAGGGCAGAGATAGTGGCAGGAGACATTTCGATTTTTTCAACAGTGATTTCACCCCCTTCGCTGTTCTGCAAGACATGAAAGGGTGCCTGAGCTTTTGCTTTAGCCTTCCGGGCTCCTCTTTCTGGCGTTGCGAACTCTGCGGGCCTTTTGGTAGAAGAGTCTTCCATGGAAGTATTGGTGATAGTAAGGTACCCTTTTTCAAAGTCGCCGGTCAAATCAACCCAAGAAGCCCTTTCATCTTTTTCCCCAGAAGTCGCCTCCTTTATCGTTGTCGCGTTCTTGTAGTGTTCGTATCGTTCCCAGGCTTTCGTTCCAACTCGTCTGGCATTGTCTTGCGCGAAGCTTATAATGGTATCTGGGTCCTTCAGCGCGGCGATCTGCTCCTTGGACAGCGGCCCATTCCCATGAAGAGCGTGCATTTCCTTATTATGCTTCCTATGGGGTACGTGCCATAAGACTCCATATCCACCATCCTTCAAACCATGAAATACGCAGACTTCTGTCCATACATTGCTAAACATCGTCGAATATACTTTGTTCGCCCCATCTGCTCCAGCATTGCCGGCCTCGTTCAACACATGTGGTGAGGACGCACCTGCAAGAAGGAAAAGAAAAAACAACTGTATCATCATGAAGTGGAGGCCGTCTGGCCTGACCTGATCGCGGATCTGGGAGAACACAATTACAGTATAGAATTGTGTACGCAGTTTGTTGGTTTGTATGCAGTTTGTTGGTTTGTAGATGTCGCCGACGAAAAGACCAAATCCATGTGCTGGTTGTGCAGATCCACATCCACGGTGCACGAACCCTGCAGGCGCGGAATCTCCGCTGCGTCTGTGAGCATATCGAGCAGTCCGCTGGCCAATGAAACGGACATGGTAACGTTGAGGCTGGAGTCCATGGGGCTGAACATATTGATGTCCACATCTTGCACCTGCCCACTGGTAGGTTCATTGGTGAGCGACACGCCAACTGTACCCATCTCTGTGTCTTCGCTGTCGCGGATGGTGGTGTGGACCGTGTAATTCGTACTCTTCGTCACCAGAGTCAAAGGGTCCAGCTTGAGAAACTGCTGATAGCTGCCATCTTCGAATACTTCAACCGACGCGACGGCAGTCAAGCCAGCGTCGTCGTGGGTGCCGTCGACGTCGACCCGCCCTGCGGGGTCATTGGCAACCGAGAGAGAGGCGTCAATCGTAAAGCCGCCCTGTGCGCGATAGGAATCCGAAAAGGTTCCGCTCAACACGATCTGCTCACCTTCAACGCTTACCGTGACCTCCAAGGTGCCGTCCTCCGTGTCAGCGCCAGTGTATGTTGCCCCGGCAGACGCGTCGAGCAAGGTGCTGGAGGAATCACTGGGGTCCTCCACGACCGCCGAGACGCTCATGGACGTACTGCTGTTTGTACCCGTGATGGTAATGAACCTGTGCCATCCTCGGGGTTGTAGACGCGAGCCGAGAGGGATTCGCCAGCGCTTGCACTCGAGGAGGCAGACACGCTGGCGATGGTATCGCCACTGTCTGGGGCCTTGATTAGCACGGAGAGCGTCGTCTCGTCGGTTGAAGAAAACTCGACCTCGGCAACTTCCACGTCTGAAAAAAAGACGGCTGAGTCCAGGGGGGCCTCCCCTGCCTCGGCAGAATCCGCGGCAAACAGGTGCACTTCAAACTGGGTCGCCTCGTCCATCCCGTACTGCAAGTCGAAACCGATGGCGTTGTCGGTCATGGTGGCATTGAGTTCAATGTCGATCTCGGACCCATCTGCGTATGCCATCTCCGAGAACGTCACGGTGGTGCTCTCGCCAGTCAGGCGACGGTCGTCCCACGGCGGTTGCTGCACCAGGCGCTCGCCGGTGGAGCCCCCCAGCGACCTCGCCAGTCGGCGGCCCAGCAGCCGCCTCGCGCCGCGCGCCAGGTCGTGCACGGCCGACGCCCTGCGGCTGCGCCAACCCACCGCGTGGGAGGCGCCCAGGCACTGCGCCGCCAGCGACGACGGCGCCACCGCGGCCATCCGCACCGAGCGGTGGACGCCGCCGCGCTCCCCGCGCGAGTCGCCGACGAACAGCTTGCCGAGGGCGGCCGCGAAGGCGGCGGGGCGCACGTGGCCAGTGACGAGGGCTGGCGCGGAGACCAGGTAGCCGCCCTCGCCGTCGCTCTCGATGACCAGGCTGGCGTTGACCGCCTGTGTCAGTCGCACGGAGCGGTCCCCGCTCTCCTCGTAGGGCACGGCGGCGTCGAGGCTGATGCTCGCCCTCCCGAGCAGGCCGTCCAGGGCCTCGGGGAGCCCCCCCGCGGGCACCCGCCAGCCCACGAGCGCCGGCTGCTCCAGCATCACGTTGGGGCTCTCCAGCGACCAGGGGCCCTTCCGCGCCACGCTCCCGCTGCGCTGCACCCACATCGTGGGCGCCTCCGCAGCCGCGAGGTCCACGGGCACCCGCGCCGTCCACGGCACGCGCAGGCCGAGGCCGAAGATGTCCACGCTGGACGTGACCTCGCACCCGCCGGGCGCAGACGCCGCGGCGCCCGCGGGCGACACCCGCGTGCGGGCGTGGAGCTTGACGCGCGACGGGCCCTGATGCTGGGCGTCCGGGGCCTCGACGGCGACGTCCAGGTCGCGCACCCGCAGCTGGCGCGTGGCGCTCCGGAGCCAGGCGCGGTGCGGAGACCAGGCAGGCCGCACCAAGCCTGCGTCGAGCATCACGTCGGCGGAGTCCGCGCCCTCCGGCGCGGAGACGTGCACGCCGTCCACGCGGAGGCCGAGGGCGCACGCGTGGTGCAGACTCGCGGCCAGCGCGGCGGGTCCGAGGAGCAGCACGGTGGCCGCGGCGAGCGCGGTGCGGACGAGGCGGCGGCCTGCCACGGGCCGCGCCACTTCCGCGGCAGCTGGGGGCGCGACGCCCTCCTCCACCATCGTGGGCCCGGGGTCCTGGGCGGCCGCCTCGGACACCGGGCTCGTTCCTGCCATCGCTGGGGCGGGCGCGGCGCGTTTCGCGCGAGGGCGGCGAGGCGTCGTACAGCCTGCTCGCCTTCAACACCTACTACTAGGCGCGCCAAGGGGGAGACTCCTGGGCTCAAGCAGCTCCTTGAGCCAAGATGGTTACGGTGGGGCCATCGTGGCCGTCTTGGACGCCATCTTGGGCCAACTGGAGGAAACAGAGGCAAGACGGATACGTATTGAGATCCTTTCCGAATGGCCGGAGGGACGAGCCGAAGCCCCAGGGGGAGGTCTTTTGGAAAAAGAGCCCAAGCCAAAAGCCATATCATCTGGCACGCCAGGCACCCCTTTGCTAAAGCAAAATGGAGCGGAAGGCGCTCAATTCCCCACCAAATCCTCCAAGACTGCTCAAGATGGCCTCCAAAATGGCCACGTCGGCTCAAGATGGCCTCCAGGATGGTCCAAGATGGCCTCCAACTCCGCCCAAGATGGTCCAAGACGGGCCCGAAGACGGCCCAAGAGTCCAAGACGGCCCAAGACGGCCCCAGAGGCCCCCCAGAGGCCTCCAAGACGGCCCCAGAGGCCTCCAAGAGGTCCTCCAGGAGGGCCCGAAGAGGCCAAAATCATTGGTTGTCCTGCGGTTTTTGAAGGATTTCGGAATGTGTTTCTTCTCGGCATTTCGACGGCTCAAGACGGCCCAAGATCGCCCAAGAGCGCCCAAGAGGCCCCCAAGAGGGTGGCCCACGCTCGTTCGCGCTCTTCGTGGCCCCATACGCATTCCCTTCGTGTCCCCGCTGTCGCCCTTCGTGGCCTACTTCGTGTCCTTCGTAGCTCTGCTGTCGTTCTCTCTCGCTCTCGCTTTCGCTCGTCGTCGTCGTCGCCGTCGCCGTCGTTACTTTCGTCGTCGACGTCGTCGTCGTTGTCGTCGTCGTCGTCGTGGTCGGTCCCCTGTCCGTCCCTCTTGGAGTCGGGTCGACTGTCCGCGGCCGCCCCGCCGATCAGCGCTGCCGCTGGCCAGGCCGACGGTCCGCGGCCGCCCCGCCGCTTGCCGGGGCCCGGCCTGCAGGGAAGAAAGGTATACCCCCCACAAGGGGTTCGATCGAAGACGAAAAGGGCGGGTATTGAGGGTTTGGGAAATTCGCGTTAGTCGACACTCGAGCAGATAAGGGCGAACAGTCTTAAAATGATTGTTGTTGATGTTGTTGTTCTTGCTGTTAGGGTGGATGTTGTTGTTGTTGTTGCTTCTCCCCTCCGTTGATACCACCACGACACTGCAGCACGAAGAAGCAAGCGTGAAAATCCTGAACCCAGCAGGCCACGAAAATGGCGACAGTTTCACAGATCGCAGCCCCCCAGGAATAACGAGGTCTAATTTGGGTCTGCCCGTGGCGTCACTATGCTGGGCCCCCCAAGCAGGCCTCGAATGTGGCAACAGTTTCACAGATCGCAGCCCCCCCCAGGGATGGCGAGATCTAACTTGAATCTGCCCGTGGCCCTCACTGTGCTGGGCCCCCCAGCAGGCCTCGAAAGTGGCGACAGTTTCACAGATCGCAGCCCCCCAGGAATGGCGAAGTCTAATTTGAATCTGCCTGTGGCCCTCACTGTGCTGGGCCCACCAGCAGGCCTCGAAAGTGGCGACAGTTTCACAGATCGCAGCCCCCCAGGGATGGCGAGGTCTAATTTGACTCTGCCCGTGGCCCTCATTGTGCTGGGCCCCCCAGCAGACCTCGAAAGTGGCGACAGTTTCACAGATCGCAGCCCCCCAGTGATGGCGAGGTTTAATTTGGGTCCGCCCGTGGCCCTCACAGTGCTGGGCCCCCCAGCGGGCCTCGGAAGTGGCGACAGTATCACAGATCGCAGCCCCCCAGGGATGGCGAGGTCTAATTTGGATCCGCCCGTCGCCCTCACTGTGCTGGGCCCCCCAGCAGGGCTCGAAAATGGCGACAGTTTCACAGATCGCAGCCCCCCCAGGGATGTCGAGGTCTAATTTGAATCTGCCCGTGGCCCTCACTGTGCTGGGCCCCCCAGCAGGCCTCGAAAATGGCGACAGTTTCACAGATCGCAGCCCCCCAGGGATGGCGAGGTCTAATTTGAATCCGCCCGTGGCCCTCACTGTGCTGGGCCCCCCAGCAGGCCTCGAAAATGGCGACAGTTTCGCAGATCGCAGCCCCCCAGGGATGGCGAGGTCTAATTTGAATCTGCCCGTGGCCCTCACTGTGCTGGGCCCCCCAGCAGGCCTCGAAAATGGCGACAGTTTCGCAGCCCCCCAGGGATCGCAGTGCCCCCCAGGCCTCGATGGCGAGGTCACAGATCGCAAGGGATGGCGAGGTCTAATTTGAATCTGCCCGTGGCCCTCACTGTGTCGGGCCCCCAAGCAGGCCTCGAAAATGGCGACAGTTTCACAGATCGCAGCCCCCCGCGGGCAAGACAGGAAGTGGCAGGAAAGAGGCGGGAGGCGGGAGGAGGAAGGACGCGACCACACTGCTCTATTCAAAACGAATACCCAACCAAGGAGGGTTGGGAAAAAAAACATCGGAAGTGATTACACGATTCGTTGATTTTTTGCGCCGCAGAATCCCCCCACTGTGGGGCGTCGCCACGCCATGCTATGGCAGGCTACGCGTCCTCATTCCCGCGCTTCCGTTTCTGTTACCTAACAGCTTGTTCTGATAGGTTTCTAGTGGTCTCAAAAGAGAGCAGCAGATGACTCCACAAAGGGGTCTGGGCGGGTGCCGGACAGGGTGCCGCAGAAGTCGTTTTAAGCCAACAGTCACACACTTCGTGCTCTTCGACCTCCCAGAACTCCATTCTGGGCCACATTTGGATCCCGGAGCCAACTGTAGGCCACTTCGTTGCTCTTCGACTTCCCAGAACTCCATTCCCGGGCCACATTTTGGATGCCCGGAGCCAACTGTAGGCCACTTCGTGCTCCTTCGATTCCCAGAACTCCATTCCTGGGCATGATTTTGAATGCCCGGAGCCAACTGTAGGCGTGGTCTTCGAGTTCCCAGAACTTTATTCCTGGGCATGATTTTGAATGCCCGGAGCCAACTGTAGGCCACTTCGTGTTCTTCAGTTCCCAGAACTCCATTCCTGGGCCACATTTTGAATGCTGAGGCAGGCTGATGCTGAGGCCGAGGCAGGCTGAGGCTGAGGCAGGCTGAGGCTGATGCCGAGGCTGAAGGCAGACTGAGGCTGAGGCTGAAGCAGGCTGAGGCTGAGGCTGAGGCAGGCTGAGGCTGAGGCTGAGGCAGGCTGATGCTGAGGCAGGCTGAGGCTGAGGCTGAGGCTGATGCAGGCTGAGGCTGAGGCAGGCTGAGGCTGAGGCCGAGGCTGAAGGCAGACTGAGGCTGAGGCTGAAGCAGGCTGAGGCTGAGGCTGAGGCAGGCTGAGGCTGAGGCAGGCTGAGGCTGAGGCTGAGGCAGGCTGAGGCTGAGGCTGTGACTGCGACTGCCGTTGCCGCTGCGACTGTCATCGCGAATGCGACTACGACTGCGAGAACAGCAGAATTCTACAACTGGATTTTCATCTGAATCTGAAGGGGAATGCTTTCAGATATGCTTCTACATATCGCTGTTAGGTTGCTTTGCCGGGATAATTTGTTTTTCTAAAATGCTGCTCTCGCGGAAGTGCTGGCCTCATTCTCGGGCTACCGCTCGTTCCGAATCGTGCTCCTGCTGCAGCGCAGGCCTCATTTCCGCGCTTCCTGTCGTTCCGAATCGTGTTCCCGCTGCAGCGCTAGCGTCCTTACTTCCAGCGGCATGGCTCGCAAATCTAGAAAATGTCCCCCCGAAAAAACCATAGGAAGTGATTACACATTCGGTGCCGATTCGTTGATTTTTTGCGCCGCGGCCCCCTCCCCCACTGTGAGGCGTCGCCACGCCATGCTATGGCAGGCTACGCGTCCTCATTCCTGCGCTTCCGTTTCTGTTTGTTTTTCTAAAATGCTGCTCTCGCTGAAGCGCTGGCCTCAATTTCGGGCTACCGATCGTTCCGAATCGTGCTCCTGCTGCAGCACTGGCCTCATTTCCGCGCTTCCGATCCTTCCAAAGCTGCTCCCGCTGCAGCGCTGGCGTCCTTATTTTCAGCGCCATGCCACGGCATGGTTTTCGGTCTTTTAAATAGACCCCCAAATAACACTACTCCGACGGAATTGTTCTGATAGGTTTCTAGTGGTGTCAAAAGGGAGCAGCAGATGACTCCACAGAGGGGTCTGGGCGGGTGCCGGACAAGGTGCCGCAAAAATCGTTTTAAGCCAACAGTCACACACTTCGTGCTCTTCGACTTCCCAGAACTCCACTCCCGGGCCACATTCTGAATGCCCGGAGCCAACTGTAAGCCACTTCGTGCTCTTCGACTTCCCAGAACTCCATTCCCCGGCCACATTTTGAATGCCCGGAGCCAACTGTAAGCCACTTCGTGCTCTTCGAGTCCCCAGAACTCCATTCCCGGGCCACATTTTGAATGCCCGAAGCCAACTGTAAGCCACTTCGTGCTCTTCGACTTTCCAGAATTCCATTCCTGGGCATGATTCTGAATGCCCGGAACCAACTGTAAGCCACTTCGTGCTGTTCGACTTCCCAGAACTCCATTCCCCGGCCACATTTTGAATGCCCGTAGCCAACTGTAAGCAACTTCGTGCTCTTCGACTTCCCAGAACTCCATTCCTGGGCCACATTTTCAGCGGGGGCAAGAGCACGACGAGGAGGAGGACGAGCAAGACCAGGAGGACGAGGACGAGCAGGAGCAGGACGAGGAGCAGGAGGAGCAAGAGAAGAAGGACGAGCAGGAGGAGGAGGAGGACGAGCAGGAGGAGGAGGACGACCAGGAGGAGGAGGACGACCAGAAAAAGGAGAAGGAGGAGGAGGAGGGGAGGGGGAGGACTACCAGGAGGAGGAGGAAGAGGCGGAGGAGGAGAGGAGGAGGAGGAGGAGCGAGGAGGAGGAGGAGGAGGAGGAGGGGGGAGGAGGAGGAGGGGGGGAGGAGAGCACAGAGGGAGGAGAAACGAGGACACCAGGAGGAGGAGGAGGAGGAGGAGGAGGAGGAGGAGGAGGAGGAGGAGGAGGAGGAGGAGGAGGAGAGAACACCAGGAGGAGGAGGACGAGCAAGACGAGGAGGACGAGAACGAGGACGACCAGGAAGAGGAGGAGGAGGA